TACACACACACACACACACATGCACACTATTCACACACACACAACACAATGACTTGCAAAAATTAAATATTTATATTTTATACAGTGTTGTGACATTATGACACTGTTACAGGAGCTTTGTTTGCAGTTTTGGCATTTGATTTTTGATTAGTAATGTCTGTGATTTATTTATTTATTTATTTTTTTGCCTGTTTTTAAATTTTTTTTCTTCTCAGGGAAAACCCCAATAAATTGCGAGTGGGTTTGTGCAACGATAACCTCCTGCTGAGAAGTTGCACTGTCCGCAACACCGAGACCGTCATCGGCATTGTCGTCTATGCTGGTGAGTGAATGAGACCGTCCTCGGCATTGTCGTCTATGCTGGTGAGTGATTTATATTAAAGTTCTTGACATACAAAGGGAAGAGAGAAAAACGTATTAGAAGCATTGATTAATACCAGAGCTGCGTAATGAGTCTAAAATATAAAGTTTGTATATATTTTTATGTGTATGTCAGATTGTATATATTGTAAAATGCCCTTGAGTGTGAGAAAGACACTATGTAAATAAAGCATAATAATTGACAGACCTGTATTTAATGTATTGCATGAGAAGCCAACGTGCAAAGGCTTATTTCTATAGGATTTCAGATTGACTACAATCATTCAAAAGCTGCCCAGAAGCACTTAGAGGGTAGATTCAGGAACTGAGGTATCTGAAGATGCATTTAGTAAATGGGTTTTCGGGTAAGGATGCAATAAATTTTATTTGTCAAGTTCTCTTCATCAGGTCTCTGAGTCCTGGCCTTTGTTGGGGTTCTTTGTGTGCAGGCCATGATACCAAGGCGATGAAGAACAACAGCGGGCCGCGGTATAAACGCAGCAAGCTGGAGAGGAGGCTGAACACTGACGTCCTGTGGAGCGTGGTGCTGCTCCTTGTGATGTGCCTGACTGCAGCCATAGGTAGGTTCCCTCGTGTGCAGTGCTGAGCCACTCAGTTCTCTGAAACTGTCATGTGTGCTGTGACAGGCTAATCGATTCTCTGATGCTGTCATGTCTGCAATGACAAGACAATCAGTTCTCTGATACTGTCCTTTGTGCAGTGATGAACCTGTCAGTTCTCTGATACTGTCATGTGTGCAGTGACAAGCCAGTTGGTTCTCTGATACTGTCATGTGTACTGTGACAGGCTAATCGGTTGTCTGATAGTGTCATTTGTGCAGTGATAAGCTTATTGGTTCAATGATATGGTCACGCGTGCAGTGACAAGTCAATCGGTTTGCGGATACTGTTACGTGTGTAATGATGAGCCAATCGGTTGTCTGATACTGTCATTTGTGCAGTGACCGGCCAATCACTTCTCTGATACTTACCAGTGACTCCCCAATGTTGTTTTTATGCAGAATGTTGCTGTACATGCAATAATTGTTGATTATGTGAAATATATACAATATTTACTGTTTAATATTTGAATGTTTGTTGACTTTAAATATGTTTTTTTTTTTTTATGTTTTAGGTCACGGCTTATGGTTGAGCGGCCTGAAAAATCCTGCATTCATTATTCCTGATGGCACTTCCCCTGTCTTAGCTGGATTCTACTTGTTCTGGACCATGATCATAGTCCTGCAGGTAGTGTAAGGGAATCTTGCTCACTTCTATATCGATAAAGAGCTGTCTGTGTCTGTCATACCTTGAGAAATGCAGCAGAGCAGGTGTGCCCAGATTCCTCCCAGTATGGGTAGGGGTAGTCATTGCTTTTATTCTAGACACAAACATGAGTGAAATTCATGAAATGATGTTGAACCAGTTTCCTGTTGGGCTTTATTCAAGGTTTATGTTTTTCTTTTGTTTAGGGCAAAAAGAAGGAAGGGTTAAATTAATATAGGACTAATATGCCAATCTTTCATCTAAGCCACTATTATTATAATTAAGTAATTTTGATCTATAATCTGTCTATAATTATCCATAATAATAAGAATCAATGACTTGGCTAACCGCTGCATCACCATGCGAAATACCACTGTTGCCTCACGCCTCTGGCACTAGCGTTTGAGTCTCCACCAGGGTTCTGTGTATGGAGTTTGCAGGCTCTCCCCATGTCGTCGTGGGGTTTCCTCTGGGTGCTCCAGTTTCCCTCCACAGTCCAAAAAGTTGCTGATGCTGATTGGAATGACCAAATTGCCCATAGGTGTGCATGTCTATGTGACTGGTGTGTGTGATGGGTTGGCGCCCCATCTTGGGTTGTTCCCTGCCTTGTGCCCTGTGATGGGTTGGCGCCCCATCTTGGGTTGTTCCCTGCCTTCTGCCCATTGCCTCCAGGATAAGCTCCAGACCCCTTTTGACCCAGCACAGAACAGGCCTTTACAGAAAATGGATGGATGAACTTTGGTATTTCAATACTGGCTTTTAGGCACCATGAAACATCATAAATTTATTTTTTCCTGTAAAGATAACAGCAAGAACACTTTTAGTTAATGTTCACAGAAATCAGGGTGTATCAGATTACATTCCGTATTTAATCAGCATCCATATACAGTAGATTGACTTTACATTTAGCTCTGCCTTTAATGAGGCCAAATCGCAAGACCTTTGAGATGAAACCTCTACTTTTCATCCCAACCTTCCCCCAACAGGTGCTGATTCCCATCTCCCTCTACGTTTCCATCGAGATTGTCAAGCTGGGTCAGATATACTTCATCCAGAATGACGTAGACTTCCACAGTGGGCGCCTGGCCTCAGGTGTCCAGTGCCGGGCACTGAACATCACAGAGGATCTGGGCCAGATCCAGTACGTCTTCTCCGACAAGACCGGCACGCTCACAGAGAACAAGATGGTGTTCTGCCGCTGCAGCATCGCGGGCGTGGAGTATCCTCACGAGGACAATGGTGAGCTCACAAAAGCGGGAGGTTCTAGGCAGGTGTGGCTGCCTGTTATTATGTTATCAGAGCAAACACAGAATAACAATGCAAAACTGAAAAAGTCCCTTTGGTGACCAAAGGCAGAAAATATAAGAATACCTCAGTTTACACTGCACTTCACATAAGAGCAAATCATCACACCATATGAACTCAGTGAATGGCATGAAATGCTCTAGATATCTGAAATGTACTGTGTCTGAAATATGTGAAATTGCAGTTCAGCATGGTGTCTTCTATTCCAGTAAAACAGCAGCAAGGCCAGTGTTTATATTTAGCAACGGTTAGGACATGAGAGGGGTGATAATGGATAGTCACCCCCCCCCCCTCACAACTAAGTAAGCAGAGAGCTGGAGGACAATGTTTGATTAGAAGACCTCTGCAAATCCATGGGTGCAGGTTAATAAGCCAAGCAGTGTCCTGGTGTTCTGAGGTATGGAGGATCCCAGTGTAGAGAATATAGTTAGTTTAATTGGTGTGTAACTGCTTGAGGGCCAGGAAAGCTAGTTAGACTGTGTGCAAATCAGCATATATTTTATCTCAAGGACCTTGGTCTCCCACCTCCAGTCTTTGCAGCTCCCAGCGTGCAGTATCTCCCGTGATTCCTGCATTGGTTAGTCGTGGTGTTTTCTCTGTTATTTTGGGCATCTTTATATTGGATGTTCCCTCCATCGTCCATAGTACTTTGTCTTGACACTCTTCTCCAAGGCTACAGCTGTATTGGGGTGGTGTTGCCTGGCCAGTGGTCTGTCAGGGTGTTTTCAGCAACATGAGATTGTGGCCATTTCTTCCAGCACAGAGGCTGGAGCTCTATCGTGATCAGGACTGTGACGACGACGACGACGACGACGACTGCCATCCTACAGTGAAGGTGAAGTCGCGGTCCAGCCTCAGGTCGCTCAGCTGCCGCTCTCTGAACTGCAACCACAGCTCAGTGTCCCTGCACACCCTCACTGGCTGTGAAATCGAGCCCGGCCTTCAGACGGAGCCTCTGGATGGAGCTGCCCCTCGCCAGGTAGCCTTCAGCAGTCACATGGTACGTCCCCCCAAACCGCACCGCTCAGCAGAAACAGACCATCCTTTGGCCCCAGAGACATGGGAGTCGGCCTTTGACATCAACTCAACATGCTGGAAACCTCTTCGGAATTGGCCTATGCAGTGATCTTCACTGTGTTCCCAGAATACATGTGGCAGTACAACCGAGTTTAGCAGTTGTTTAAGAGTTTAAGTCGCTACCAGTATGATTAATTTTACTTTCTGCCTGCTTATGTCAGCTCGTGTAGAAAGTGTTGTCTCCTTCAATATAAATAATCCTGTATTAACTTTATAAATATGCAAGTGGTCTTGTCAGCATCCAGTGACCTTGTCAAGGCCTGCCTGAGTTTCACTTCCTGCTTAGGAAGCCCAGGGAACACTGTGTAAACTGCCATAAAGCTGCTCAAGCACCAAGCCTTTGGCGTAAATCTAGGGCCAATCAAGGCCGACAGATGATCGGCTCCCGTTGATGTGAGCATTTGCACTGGAACACCCCAGCACGACTAGAGAAGTCGGTTGACATGCAGCCCAATCAGAGATTTGCAACTAGCTTACACCCGGCCAAACTGCCAGTGGGGACCAATCATGTCCAACACGGCAGAGCGACAGGCAGCCACTGACTCTCACTGACACCCCAACAACTTCCGATGGCTGAATATCGGCTTGGTTTGTCCAGGCTTTAAGTAAAGCCTGTGCTTTCATTTATTCTCTGCAAAGAATGCTGCCTGAAATTATTATATTATGACAATTCTGAAAATATTTGTCCATTCCCCAGGGGGGATCATTTGGCCTTTTTCTAGTTTTCCCCATTTTCCTTATTTTCCTTATTCTCCTTATTCCCGGTGGCTCCGACCAGGAGAAGGACGTCATCCCTGATCCACAGCTCCTCCACAAGCTGGCTCAGCTCTCGTCCCCAACACTCCCTCTGCTGGACAGCATGGGAGACGCATCCCAGGAAATCCCTTACATTATAGACTTCTTTCTGGCGATGGCGCTGTGTAACACTGTGGTAGTGTCATCACCTGGTCTGCTGCGACGTACCACAGTAAGTCCCCACCCTCCACCTCTGTCCAGAGATTTTCCATCTCAGACTATAAATTCCACCCAGGTTTTGCTTTACATGATTTTATATGCTTCAGGGGGTAATCATTGCTAAAAAAAAACATTATTAAAATAATGTTCACAGAAACTTTGCATGCTAGCGTCTTGGGTGGTGTGTGGATCAGAAGGTTGCAAGTTCAAATCCCATAGCTGGCAAAGTGATGTCACCTTTGGGCCCCTGAACAAGGTTCTTAACCCCCGATTGCTCCAGAAACTGGCTGATCCTGCTTTGGATGGAGTAAATAAAAATGAAATGTAATCATTGTGTTAAGCTGGACCGTTGGAGCAGGTGCCTGTTGTTTGCTTTGCAGAATCTGACACTGGAGGTCCCTCGCAACCCCATCCGGGCCCTGGAGAACATCAAGCTGCTCTTTCCTCGTTTTGGGGTCCCCCGCTTTGCGTCGCTCTCTTCCCCAGGGGGGACTGTATTGCAGGCGACGGAGAGCCCCTCGAACTTTACTCAGAGACTGCTCTTCCGGATGAAGGGTTCTGCCTCATCCTTTGCTCTGCCAAAGATGGATATAGGAGAAGGGGAGGAGTCTCAAGTCAGAGACCCCAGTCCAGCTCAGGAGGAACTGGGTGCCCTGGTTTCGGAGGCGGCTGAGGCGGAGCCCTGGCTGGAGGTGGAGTCTGGTGGGGACAGCGGGTTGGACCAAGACGAAGTGGAGGAGCTGATGTACGAGGCGGAGAGTCCGGACGAGGCAGCGCTGGTCCATGCCGCTCGGGCTTACAGGTGTACCCTGCGGGCCCGGACCTCAGAGAAGCTGATAGTGGATCTGCCAGGACTGGGCCACCTGACGGTGCCCCTGCTGCACATGCTGCCCTTCGACTCCCTCCGCAAGAGGATGTCCGTTGTGGTGCGGCACCCTCTCACCGGCCAGGTGGTGGTCTACACCAAAGGGGCCGACTCGGCCGTCATGGACCTTATCACCACACTTAAAGGTACCGTTTAGCTCGATTTGACCTTATTCATTTACATGGAAGATAAAACTTAATAATCATTTGACAGCCTTCTCAAAGATTCTTTTGTGTAACAGCCTTCTAGGTCCAAAGTGTAAGAATATCTATGTGGAAGGCCTCTATGCTGTTTACTGTACAGTCTTTTATCTTCAATAGGTCTGAAGTCATTCCATAATATATGTCTCAAACCTGATTTGTTAGAAAAGCCGGATGATATGTGTCTTTCTTGAATTTAGCATGTAATTGTTACCTTGCTCACCTTTCAAAGAGATAATAATGGTTTTGGGGTCCGCGATTGGCACCAGCTACATTTTACATACTTCCTGTGGTGACGTATCTCACCTCATGAGATGTGAAGATCCAAATCAAATGAATTATTTTCAGTTAGTTGCACTGGGGTCTGAGTCTCCCCCAGGACTCTGTGTGTGGAGTTGGCATGTTCTCTCCGTGTCTTTGTGTGGTTTCCTTTGGCTGCCCTGGTTCCCCAGCCACTTATCCTGGTCAGGGTCACAGCTAAGTGGGAATTTATCTCAGGCAGCGCAGGGCACAGTCCTGGGGAACAGCCTGAGTGTGCCAGTCCGTCACGGGGCACAGTCCTGGGGAACAGCCCGAGCGTGCCAGTCCGTCACGGGGCACAGGGCTGGGGAACAGCCCGAGCGTGCCAGTCCGTCACGGGGCACTGGGCTGGGGAACAGCCCGAGCGTGCCAGTCCGTCACGGGGCACTGGGCTGGGGAACAGCCCGAGTGTGCCAGTCCGTCAGGGGGCACTGGGCTGACGCACACTACAGGCGGGGTGGGGAGCTGCCGGCATGGGGAGTGGAGGCCGCATTCAAACCTCCAACTGTAGGGGGTGTGAGCCAATCGTTTGGATGCTTTACATTTGTAGGCTACACCCCTCAGAGTCCCCATTTTTTTCCAGTTATGCATGTTTCAGTTACCAGTTATATTTTAATATATTAACCTGTATTATGCTTGGTGGACAGCTGGTTAATCACGTATTTCCTTAGAATCAAATAGTTGATCATATTGAATAACTGCTTATTTAGGAGACGCTGAAGCAGCGTGTTCTGCTAGCTAGCTGACGCTGTCCGTTTCCTGCCTCCAGACGACAGGCAGGCTGCAGGAGGGCTGCGACACATCCGAGAGCGCACTCAGCTCCATCTGGACGACTACGCCCGCCAGGGACTTCGAACCCTGTGCATAGCCACAAAGGTACCGCTCTATGCTAAAAAAAAAAATAAAAAATACATTAATTTAGTGATCATTGTTGGCACACCGCAGCACAACAACGAAAATGTGTCCATATGTGATATAGGAGGGGGCAGCTAATTCAGCGCCCGGGGAGCAGTACCTTGCTCAGGGCACCTCAGTGGTGCCTTGCTGGTCGGGGATTCAAACTAGCAATCTTTCAGTTATAAGTGCACTTCCCTAACCATCAAGCCACCACTGCCCATGGTATGAAGCGAAGCATATGAAGTGAGACAGTTTGGATGGGAATGGTCATGGTAGTATGGCTGCTTGGATTGACCCTCTGTGTTTGTAGGTCCTGGAAGAGGAGGATTATGCAATGTGGCTGAAGAGACACAGCTACGCGGAGACCAGCATAGAGAACCGAGAGGAACTGCTGCAGGAGTCTACAAGCGAACTGGAGACCAACCTGACCCTGCTCGGTAATGGCGGGAAACCTGATGCTACAACTGAAAGCAGTACTAGTCAAAGCCCATGTGGGCCCCTAGGCAAGCTTCACCAGTGACCCCCCAGCTCTTAAACGGCGCTGCCGGAAATGGATGGATGTCTCTGATTTCTCATGTGCAGGAGATGCATGGCTTGCGTGTTTATTATTAAAGAAATTCAGCTGTTTCTCTTTAAGAATCTAATAAACATGATTAAAGCATAGAACCAGAAACCAGTGCAGATATTTACACCAAACTGTCTCAGATTGTCAGGCCAGGCAGCCAGATAAAGCAGCAGAAATGGGGAAACTTCAGGCTCCTCCTCCTTCCTCTTCTGGTACTGCCTTAATCTTCTGCCCAGCTCACTTACTATTACAGCATGATTCTAATTAGTTCTCCTGGCCCTAATTAGATGAGGTGTCCTTGGCTGAGCTCCTTACTTTCTGCACTGTTAAATCTCAGTGACGCGTGCTGGCTGAGCAGAGGCAGAATGTGTCTGGAAGCTGATAGTGCCCCTCCCCCCCCACCCCCCCTTTCCAGGTGCTACAGGAATCGTGGACCAGCTGCAGGAGGAAGTCCCAGAGACCATCGAAGCGCTGCAGGCAGCTGGGATGAGGGTCTGGGTCCTGACCGGCGACAAGC